CTCTAAAAAAAATATGAGTCACAGAGTTATCAACAAAACATCGTAAGAAATCGTAAAAATATTAACAATTGTAAAAGCCTAGTAAAATGGTATGGTGAATCCTAGTCGTGCAAAACATTTAGACATAGACTGAGCAGTCTGTAAGCATTTGTAATTTCAAGAAATGCACAAGTATATGGATTCGTTACTGGTCGTTTAAGTGTGTACCAATTAGATGGTGACAATACAAGGTCACGTTAGAATTCGGATTTAGTTTTGCGATAGGCCATTGTACTTGAGAATACGTTCTGCATGATTGTGCTCAAATATATATTGATCCGAATGTCCGACAGCGAGTCAGTATCTGGGGTTCTCATGTTTTTCTAGTAGCGTTCTAGATGGTTTCGTCCGGCCTACCCTTCGGTCAATCAATAAATTATGAACTTAACCATGATAGTGTGTTTAAATTTCATACGTTTAGTACTTATCAGCCTCGTGCATGAATCCCTTATGAGGATATTGAACGAAAATGTAACTTCGTTCCTTATATTACGGAGATCCCCGTCTGGCAGAGACGAATTCATCATCAAGCAAATTCGCAAGCTAAAATCTTCAAAGTCGAATGTTTGTAATTTGCTCCCAAACACACCTATTTGGCAAGCTCGGATAAATGTGTTACCGCTATTGACAAAGTTCACATATTATACCTAATGGCTCGGCCTAGGTGTCTTATACATACATGGCCACTAACTCTTTTCGTGAACATTGATTGAATCTTGTACCGAGGACCAAATGTTATTTTTTTATGTCTGCGTTTAAGCGTGTGTGTGTGTGTCTGTCTCAGATTGAAGAGTTTCCCCACGGCTTGACCTTGATTGCTCTCGACTCTGAGTGCAATAAACATGTACCGATGGAACGCGTTATCTTTCTCTAAGTAAATCAATTAAAAAACGTTCACCGTTTGAATCAGTTACAATTTAATTTGATTGGAGAATGCGTTCGTCGTGTAATTGAGGTGAGAGCTGAAAATCGGGGAAGCATGCTGTACGGCTGTCTCGACCTGGTTGGGTATCATCCGTGTAATGGTAATCTGCTGATCCAAAGGGGGGTCGAACCCAGGACCTCACAGCTGATCAGATCGTTTCTCATTTGCAATATACACGATATAGCACAACCCATCTTTGCAGGCCACGGACCCCGCTCATCTCAGTACGAGCCTCCAAGATTATCATACAATTGCAATTTTGTTTGATAATCGATGTTTAGAGTTTAAATTCAAATATATATATATATAATCTACTAATCCTGCACGCATCCTCATTTAAAACGCCTCGAAAGGATTCCCATCACATTCACAAATACTTTCTTTGTCTTAATCATTTGATACTTCAAATATCTGCCAGATACTAGGTAAAAAATATCTACAACTTCATCTACTTGATTCCGTGTGCGATGGCAAATGAGACGCATTATCATATCGGTCTACTCTGAGATTCTAACGTTGAGAAAATAATCCGACTAGATCATCCTCACTTTACCGACCGTCTCGTATGCATTTCTTCTGTTTTTCTATGTGGAAAATTGATTTGCAANTAACTTTTATCCGATTGGTGAAAAAAAGTGTAAAGCGAGGGGAACCATCAACCGGAGATTTATTTTATAAAAAAACCTTTATGCACTACGTAATTCTGACTGATCACTATGGGTTTTCAAATGTTTCTATCTAGGAGATCAGCAGTTATCCGAAGCTGTTGCTAGGTTCACCCACCCTTCCACCCGTTCTAAGTACAAAATTTGTTCCGACTCACATATCTGTATACAGAAATTCTTTGGTACCCTATATTGCCCGAATACTGACCAACAAGGAAAATGTTTGTTCTGAGCTATTTCTAACGCATTTAATAATTAATTAATATTTTTTTACGTTTTTACGTCCCACTTTTTCACCTCTTTTTTGGCTGAAAGCTTGTATATCACTCGCTAAAGTTTTAATACAATACAAATATAAGCTGTTGATTGGTATTTTTCATTTCAGCTAGCAACCTGCTTCAGTGATAAATCTCAAGTGACCTATCTGGATTTCACAGCTGAAAAGAAAAAAATATGACTTGACCGGTCAAAGTAGTGTGTGAAATTAGGCATGATCGGTTATACGATGCTTATATTCGGGAAATCCAAGCTCCTTTTATTCCAAAAATATTATTCCCCGATCACATCATCAGCCTATTGCCAATGGGCCAATGCTAAACGTGCAGTCATTGAACAATCCAACCCACCGGAACGAGAGTAAACATCATCAAAGTTGGAATATTTTCTCCGCAGAATTTAACCTTGGTCACCGAGAGAGTACAATGTGATTGCCGCACTATAGTTTGGACACGGATCGATCCAGTCAAGCGTGAACAATGCATGACTCATCAAAAACGCAAACTAACTAACGAAACAAAATCACAGTGACCGAATAATCATAGTGCGTCAACCCCCGGGACTGCGTTAACAACAACAACCCTTTTTGGTCCCGGTTCAAAGCGTTTCATCTTTTCCGGGTCAATGAGACGACCAGTAATAATAATAGCCTCGTAAATAGTGGATAGATTTAGTCCGCTGACAAATTGAACCGCACAATTTATTGTTCACCACGAGGTCATAGGTTATGACGCCGGCAGTGGTCACGCTCGTGAATCCGCACGTTCCAACGGGGGGAAAAAATACTGAAATATATATTATGTTCATCGATTTTCTTTATTGGCAAATCCTGTTCGCTTCTTCTCAGGTCACCTTCAGTTGCATATCGATCAGTAACCGATCAACATATATATCCCTTCATTTTATATGATTCGGTAAAATTCAAACTAGCTAATACCCACTAATACAATCACTGTGATTGAATCTATCTTCCCATGTTTTCCAGCAAAGTGATCCGCTTTTTTAAGTACTAGGCAACGGGTGTAATGTAAATTCGAATATAAACAGCTTCTCATCTGTGAACAGTAACAAAATCTAGTTTTGTAATGATAATTTGGCATCTGTTACAGTTGATTGACCACTATTGTTTAAATCTAATTAATTACCGCTCTTGCAAGAGGCTGATCTGAATACGCTTGACGTCACCGTGAATAGGAGGAAACGTTCGTTGTGTTAGCCAGTGCTATGAAATTGGACAGATTATTCGAATCAGTCGAGAGACATTCATCATCATCATCATCATCATCATCATCATCATCATCATCATCATCATCCGAATGACCAGCATCACCATCATGAGTGAATCTAGGGATTATTTTCCTCGGTGGGGTTCGAACAAAGTACACACTTTTGATAAAAGTTGGGTGTAACATTTACTGACAACTCCTTTTCGGTGGCCATCACCCACTACCCAAGAAGAAGAATTGAAATCATCACAGAAAAATACAATCAAACAGATCCCAGGCTCACAAATTTAAAACAAACAACGCTCCGACATTAAAATTCCAGTTACGTCCAGTGTTCTCGTTATATCGTAGTAGTAGTAGTAGTAGTAGTAGTAGTAGTAGTAGTAGTAGTAGTAGTAGTAGTAGTGGAGGTAGTAGTAGTAGTAGTAGTACCTATTCTAAAATTTTTATAGATATCATGCCTGTCAGTCCTGTTGACTGATATCCCAGGCTAGCCTGTAAATCCTGTTCAGTTTTGGAGCTAACCTAAATTTATCACAGTAATCAGACAATGATAAACGCCAAATTATGAAGTTTAACCAACGCAATACAAGTACAAATATCTGCTTAGAATAACAGTATGACCAAACATTTCCCTGTGCTCCATCCGGTTCATATTGGTGACCTTTGGCCTTCGTATTGATTGATTTCTCTTCCCCATGTGTGCTCGCCTGTCCCCAAACCGGGCCACACACACATTGAGCCGAACGTGATATGAATGTATGTACATAGCTGATGAGACGACCACGAAATTGTTGAGTTCAGCACATCCTGTGATCATGGTGCTTCTTCTTATTCTCAAGAAAATTCTTAAGCGTTGCATCAAATGAAAAAAAAGTTATGCATTTTTAACTGGTCTAGGGGAGGACAACATATGTCTAACGTTCTGCTGCATTACTCAAAAATCTAAGCGAACGGGCGAACTAGCGAGGGACTTTACAAAAAACCAGTGGTTTGTTGGGCCCTCACCCCGGTTGAGAGCGAGTATTGTGGTTTGAGATTGGTCACCGTTGACCAGCATCCGCCCAAACAACTATGCTTCCCAGACAACCTCTGGTGAAGAAACCCCAGAAATTAATTTGAACCGACGTAGAAAGCTGACAGAGTAAACTAAAACTGGTCAATTAAGTAGGTCAAAAAGAGTTACATAATAACGAAATGAGAAGGATGAAGTGTCAACTCTGTGAACATTCTATATCTGTTCGAAATAATTTCTGGTTGTAGCTTTTTCGTATTACGTAACCATATTCAATTATCTGTCCTCCACGGCTAATCCTTTTCCATTACGTAACTGTTTCTATGCTAACATTTCCTTTTTTTGCCTAATTTTTGTAATCATTATCCCCTGCTCCTCTTTCACTCATACCCAAATGACTCAACAACCCAGTTCTTTTTCTCTGAACCCATCTAATTATGTAAATGTCCATATATGGTATTCTACTTATAAAATTCGACCTGTTTAATGTGCATAGACAGTTGATTGAGAGCACGCGAAATCGATGGCTAACATCTATCTATTCTGGTCATATTGTGCTACTCGTTTTATTCAGATGAGTCCAAGGCAAATGATAGTTTCGAGATAAAGATTGGTGCTCTATGATTAGTTTGAAATACGATCTGCAGTCAAATACGTGATAAATAATTGTATTCATAATAATAATAACAACAATAATAATAATAATACAAGATAGCTCTGTAGATTTCAATATACTAAAATGCTTTAAAACTATTCTTTATTTGCATTTGCGATAGATTATCCGCCTACTTAACAGAAAACATCATAGCTAAACGGTGTTTCGGTTATTAACGTTTCTAGCNTCTAGCACATTCATGGATCAAGGTAAACCAGCAGAGGTGGAGTCATTTTCGAACACATGTGGTGCTGTCCACTGCATTTTCACAGTCCAAAATATACGTTAATTTTTCGAGAACAACAATTAACCCCGAACAGTATTTATCATTTTCCCGTGTTTTGTATTCGTCCCCCTGGTTGTTGTTTTTTCAGTCGTGTTCTAAACTCTGTCGCGGACACAGACTTCTCTGTTTGTGTGTGTGTGTGTGTGTGTGTGTGTGTGTGTGTAAAAGGTCACGTGGCATTTCAGGGCACAGCTGACGAGATCTTGAAGCACACACAAACGGGCCAATACCTATTTCACACATGATTGATGCTTGTTTCTTTTAGGGTCGGATGGGAAAATGACATTAGACTAAAGAGTTTGTAAAAGAGCGCGTAAAACTTTCAAAATGACATTTGGCGGGCGGAGTGGGCGGAATGGGATGGCACTGAGTGGACACAGGTTCTCACACGGGTTCTCGCCAATTGTCTCCGGCACATTGTGTAGGCAATCAATGAATGTCGTATACATTTCCAAACTGATTAGAGAGTGAAAACTTCTAATATTGACTTGAAGCTACCGTTTTGTGTGGGTTATGCAATAGGAACGGGGGCGAAATATTGTAAAGCTTATACGACAATACTTTGCATATTACGTTGAACAAAAAGTGTATCACAAAGTCACCGTTTCTTCGGGGACTTCTTGCATTCACTCTGACCAGTTAAAAATTCTTTTGGATCTTAACGACTGAACAGCTGAGGCAAATGCTAAGGGATTGCAAAGCACCACAATGGGTGAACAGCTTGCTATTTAAATAATTTCGCCGGAATGGAAATAAATAGTATTCGAAACATGCAAGTTTATGGGTTGTATGCCACAACATTCCAACACCAACCTCCAACAATTTTCACCGTGTGATCAGAGATGTATATGGTTTCAGTGCTACCTTGTACAATTGGCGCCTCTTGTTCGTTTTTATCTCTCAATCAAATTCATTCACCAGTCTCTGCTGATCGTGTAGGCTAAGCCGTGGCTCGAAAACAGTCATTTTTAAGCGATATAAACTCAGCTAGATCTGCTACGCGACAAAGTGTATATATATATCGTGTATCGCGTCCGTGACATGTGAAACTAACATTTTGGGGAAATTCCTAGTAACTCCGTTCTTCTTATTCCACCCTTGGACTGTTCCAATTCGATATGTGTTAACCGTCTGCACAGTCTGTCTCCAGTGACTTGCCAATCAAATTTGGCGGCCACACGTTTAATGGTTCGTTTTCAAGCTCGCCAGCATCTCAGGTTGAGGTAGTAGTACTACTACTCACATTTGTGAGTAGTGTACGCGCACAAAAAATGGTTGTTGGATTTTCACGACATTTGCATGTCAATAAAAAGACTTATTACTGTAACGACAGACG